TAAAGAGCTGACTCTGGGTCAGTAGCTTCAGAGAGAGAGTAGATCTCATCAGCAGAAACTCAGCTAAATGCTGCCGTGATGAAACTCCACATCATGTTCCAAACCACATCAAGGATTCTCTCTGAAACAGGATGGAGCTCAAACTCTCTCTCTCTCTCAGGTTTACCACAAGGTGACTTCCTTTTGATTTCCTGCTTCTTCACACAGACTCTCTCCAGTACAGGTTAGCTCTGAGTGTTAGCATGCTAATGTAAACACAGACCATATTACTTCCAGAACACGTCTCATTGTTTCTGACAGCAACGTTTCTGATTGGCCCTTGGGGTTAAAGCCCGCCCACATTTTAGTAATGTGGTCATGACGCAGCAAATCTGGATCAGCTCCGTTGTTCCCCCGTTTTTAGAGATGTGGGTACGGAGGAAAAGAGAGAGGGGTTTATTTCCTGACACTTTGAGAGTCTCCTGACACACCAGGGATACACCGGGGACACACCGGGGACACATGGTGATGTAGAGAAGACATCACTTTGAGAGTCTCCTGTGACACACCGGGGGGACACCGGAGACACACCGGGGACACACGGTGATGTAGAGAAGACATAACTTAGTGAGTCTCCTGACACACCGGGGACACACGGTGATGTAGAGAAGACATAACTTAGTGAGTCTCCTGACACACCAGGGACACATGGTGATGTAGAAAAGACATCACAAAGTGCATTTTGTATGATAGGACACCTTTAATTAAACACCAACAGAAGTTCAGTATCCGTCCCGCTTCAGATCACTCACCAGGATCTCCTCTTGAGCTTCAGGGCGTTTCTTCTTCGACTTCTTCTTGTCTGAGTCTGAATATTTCTTGAAGACTTCATTGAATCGTTCCCGGGTCTTCGCCCGGTCTTTGCTCTCACCTGGAGATAAATGAGATGACACCATTATGAATGGAAGAAATGGCCATTGGGTGTAATAATCTAGTACTAGTATTGTAAAATATCTGGTTCTTAAAATGGCATTTTTGGTACTTTTTTTAAATGCTAACACTTTTTTACTTTTACTGAAGTCAAGCTTTGAATGCAGGACTTTTACTTGTATTATTTGTACAATGTAGTATGGCTACTTTTACTTACTATTACTAGTAAATAATCTGGGTACTTCTTCAACCTTTTGGTGCACTTCAGTATTAAAGTCACTACTTTTAGCTAAATTAACTTATTTTGACTATCTTGTGTTTACTGACCTGCAGGCATCTTCAGTGTCTGTGAACCCTCTCATCCTCAGAGCAGCAGGGAAGAGTTCATCCTGTTAACTCAACACAGAGAGCCTCCTGTTAGCTGTAAGTAGCACATTTAGTTCAGTATTTAGTTTAAAAACAGTGGAACAAACCTACATTTAGTTCGTACTCTATCTGCTAAGCTAAGGCTAAAATAACATAAAGTAAAACAACATTATTAGAAGCTAACCGCTATGTTAGCATGCTAGGTGCTAACATTAGCTCGTTGTTTGTATCTTCCTCAGTTCTTCACATCGCCGTGGAGCTTCTTCAACCAACAGTTAGACCTCAGAATGAAGCGGATATAACACACGTGTATATTTATAAAGCTGTATATGAGCTGGTTTAAAGTATTCATGAGTTTTGTATATGTTTCTACCTGCTGAGATTGAGCTTCACTAAAGACGCTACGGCCGTTTCCAAGCCAACCAAAAGCGGTAGAGGGCGGGGCTTACAGACAACAACAAGTCACGTTACGTCGGGCACGTTACGTTGTTCACATTACGTCACTTCATGTCACATATATTCCTTTAGAATTACATTAAAATAACTAAAAACAGGACAAACGAGACACCTGTGGATGAGGACAGATTAATAAATCCTTAAGGTGTGGAATTCATGCAGATATTGGGTTTGGAAGAAAGTTACGTTTTCTGCACATTTGTTACTTAAAAGTACAACTATACGGCACCAAAATGAATCATGTATATGTATTCTATTTAAGATATATATATATATATATGTTTTAACTCAGTAAATGTACCTGTGTTCCCCTGTGTTGTTGTACTCTTAAAGGAGAACCCCCCCCCCCCCATGTTCTTTGGATTTCAATGCGAGTTTAAATAATATATAATATATATTAAATTAATCAAAGAAAACTATAACACTGTCAATGTGTATAACAAAATGATATGATGAATGATTTAATATTGACCTATTTATTTACACCTCTATATTTTAAAAGGGTTGTATTTATTTATTTTGTATTAATATATATTTTATTCACTTTAGTACGTGAACTCAATTTTCACATTTTATTTGGTATTTATTAAAACAAATCTTAAACCTGTGGTCCTATGTTAACAGGCTTTCACCACACTGTTAAAACAAAGAACCAGGAACACAATAAGATATCAAAATAATAAACACCGGCACAAATGCAGCTTCCAGGCTCGTAGAGGAGAAACAGAGCTGAGGTGTGCACCTGAAGATCTCTAGTACATATTATTCTATTTATATATGCAGATAGGGTTCAGACTCCGGCCTGCTCTCCATTCCCCATTCCTGCCTCCGCACCTTCGGGGACCGTGCCTTCAGTGTCGCTGCCCCTCCCCCC